TTATTTTTATTCATTTTTTATAAACTTTGTAATTTTTTGTATTTATTTATTCACTTTTTATTAAATATTTTTATGTTTTACTTTAATTTTAGGGGCTTCGGGGAAATATCCCTGATATTTCCCTGTTAAAATAGAAAAAGAGATTGAGGACACAGATTCCTCAATCTCTTTTTCTGCAACCCCCGTTATAAATGAACAGGAATCCTCTATGAGTGTTCCTGCTCATTCATACCATGAGAACAGAGTATGTTTACTATATCCACATTCATGAATGAACAGGAGGTGATGTAGATCACTTCCCATTCATTCATAATTGAAGATATAGTCAACATACTCTGTCCTCAATTATTTGCAAACACTCAGCAATCACTGATCACTGAGTGTTTGTACTCGTTCTCCTTTCTCACACTCTGCCACAGGAGGCTGAGCAAGCGTAGCTCAGCCTGCTGTGACAGAGCTGGCTGTCTCCACCCACACTGCTCTTCTCTGATCTGTGACAGGAGGCTGAACGATGCGGGAAGGAGAGACGCCGGCCGCTCACATCGCTCTCCTCCCGCAGCGCTCGCCCGCCTGTGACAGTTTCTCTACTCCCCACTGGGACACAGAGCAGCGCCCAGCGGGGAGGAGAGAAAGAATGGATGCACCGCTGTATCGGCCAGAAAATGGCACTTTCGGCATAATGCCAAAAGTGCCATTTTAGGCCTATATGTTTCGGTGGCCGATATATCGGTGCATCCCTACTCTTTATCTAATATTACTGTTTAGGTTTCTGTTATGATAGTTAAGCTTAACGTATACTTTAAACATGATATGCCTTGTACCCTATCCCACATATTTCAAAACTAGGCTTTGTTAACTGTCATTTTACACTTCTTGTTCTGTTATTTGTTTAATAGAAATAGTTATCAAACAGAAAGGTGTCAGTTCTTTTTGTGTCATCTGTGTCTACCTAGGGAGATTTCCCCCTACTTCCTACCCTGTAGACTCAACAGGAAGTGGGAGAATATATTTCCAATTTGAGGGAAATGCCCCATCACAAGATCAAGTATCTCCACTGGAAGATTTTCCCTCTATTCCTGTTCTGGTGGCAACTCAAAATTTTAGATTTACCCTCACTTTCGTTTCTAGTAATATTGGTTAACAATTCAATTAGATAGAATCTCCCTAACGAAGACATAGATAACAATAAAAACCTGGCAATGGTTCTGACCGCTCACAAATCTATCCACGTCTACAAAAAAATTTTGCCTTTAGTTATACTTCAAGTTTTACAGAGGCCAGGTCTGAAACACCAATCACAGCATTTCCTTGAAGTCTCTAGTTCATATTTATGTAAGTCAAAAACAAATAAGCAGTTATTTGGATATTACAGGGAAAAGCTCACTTTGATGAAAGATAGAGTGAAGAACAAGGGTTTTGCATGTGATGTGTTTGAGTCTACACTATGCACAACATAACATCATGAAGCTATAACAGAACATGGAAATTCTGATAGACAGTGCACAATTTTAGTTAAATGTAAAGTTAACTTGCACTAGGTAGGTGCAAATGATGGTACTTTCATTCAAGAGCAAACTGTGTCTTCCTTGCTTAGAGTCAATCACAATTGTCCCTCTTCTATATATGTATCACTTACTGTAGTATAGGGTTATATTAAAAAGTAGTGTATAATGCAGCCATTCTCAAACAGGGTCCCTCCACAGGTTGTTAGGAGTTACTTGAGCAGTGGCTGACTGAACTCCCACCGGATGGTGCCTGAATAGTGCCAGGGTCAAGGCACAACTTGGCAGAGCCAACGGCATTCCACTAATTACCTTTTTACCTCTCTGGGTTTCATTGTTTCCATTAACCAACACTGTAAGGGACATTATTCTTACGGACCTCCAATGAATTGATTCATTCTTTCCACTATCTATCACTGTAGGAGGCATTTTTTCTTTCACTAAACATAGATGTAAAGAGGTACATCCCTCAAAGACCATCACGTAAGGGGCCACTTCTCCACGGAAATTTATGTAAAGGGTCACTTCTCCCACTGACCTCAATATAAGGGGACTCTCTAGTGCATATCAATGCAAGAAACCATTTCCCCAATGACTACCAATGTAAGGCAGCCTGTCTGCATTTATTTTCTGGCCAATATTATTGTTTTTAATTTATATTTTGTAATTATTTATCAAATTATTTTATCATATAGAACAGGGGGTGTTTAAATTGATTAGATTTGGGTGTCATATTGAAGGTACAAATCTTATTAATGTACCATGAGCTGTATACAGGGTAATTTTAGCAGGGGTTGCCTGAGTCTAGAACATTATTTCAGGGGTTTCTTTGGAGTAGAAAGGTTGAGAAAGGCTGATATAATGTATGCTACAATATTTCACAGAATACAGTGCCTTTTATAATGTATATAGCATGTATACAGCATTTAGTAATGCTTAGTTTAGTGTATAATAACATGATATAGTGCAGTCCATAAAGTACATGCATAATGTATAGTGCATTACAAATTGTGTATGAAATATTTTTTTTTTTTAGAATTTTACATATGTACTGTACAATGTAAAGCAATGGATAACACATAGGGGTCTATTCACAAAGCTGCCGAAGGATCTGGCCGTAGCTTCGGCCGATCCTTCGGCTAGCTTCGGCACCAGGACCCCTTCGGTTCAGGAGAACCGAGGGGGTGCTGTACGGGCTATTCACAAAAGCCCGTACAGCCCGCGAAAGCAGCCGAACCATTAGCCGAACCCAACGAAACCCAACGACCGAGACATCAGCCGAGCATTCCGGCGAACACACCCGATCTTAGACGAGCAACCCGGCGAACCTAACCGATCCCAGCCGAGTATTCCGGCGAACACACCCGATCACGGCCGAGCGGCTCAGTCGAGCGCTGAGCCGTGCTGAAAGACGAAGCTGGCCGAGCGGCCGGCCATTGGCCGGCCGACAGCCTGCTTCTGAGTACGGCTGATTTTAGCCGATATACGGCTGAAATCAGCCGTACCAGCCTGAAGTGAATAGCCGAACGGTGTTCGGCTCACTTCACTTCTGATCGGTCATTCACTCGGCTCCCCTCGGCAGCTTTGTGAATAGACCCCATAGTGTAGGTATGTTAGCAGAGCATAATGGATAGTGTAGGTTATAATAAATGATTTTACAGAAAGCTGTGAATCGGTCCTTTAGCAAATTGTCATGAAGCCAGAGTTAGCTTCTGTGGCCGGAATGCTGGTCGGGCACCTGTGCATGCATGTGCGCATGCGCATCGTCCTACACAGAGGATTGTGCGTGGCTGTGTGCCTCTACGTGGGCTTGCGCGCGTCCGCGTGCACACACCGCGCTGAATGCGCGGACGTGCGCACACGCCCATTCCCAATGATGGCGCCAAAAGGGCTTTTTAAGGCTGACACACCCAGACCTCCCTGCTGACTGATCTTCAGCTATTACCTTGCTCCTGAATGCTGTGAACCTGTTTGATCTCTACTACCGACCCGGCCTGCTTGACCTCGCTCCTGTTCTGTGCTCCTTGATCCCGGCTTGTCCTTGACCTCTCTGCTGCCTGCTCCCTGGATACCGCGCTGCCTGCAAGTTATCGACCCAGCCTGTCTCTGATTACATCCTGCCTTTTGATCTTGTACTTCGCTGCTAGATTGTTGATGACCCGGCTTGTCTTACTCTGCTTCCAGGATCTTGTACTTCAACTTGCATCCTGCTAAGGGACCCCTGCAACCTGCACGCAGCTCTGACAGGAGTCGCAACCTACTTGTGCCCCTCCTTGTCCTCACACACCTGTTCCCACCATCCAGGTTTGGACTGGAGCAGCAAGAGAGGCCGCCCTCGTCATCTCAGGCTCCCCCTAAGGTATGTGACACAAATACTTCCTATTGCAGTGGAGACACCAGAAACCATTCCCCAGTTCCTTGTTCTCCTATTGCTTTCAGGCCATT